CTGTTTGGACTTACAGATTGTCTTGTTTCTTCTTTTAAACAAAATTTCTGTTGCAGAAAATGCTACAGCAAAGAGAAACCAAAGAAATCAAACCAAAGAAATCTGGCTGAAGCAAGTAAACTGTTAAAACAGTACCAGCAAATACTTCCTGAAGGTAAAGGTTTCTCTGGTCTTCAGTCTGCTTAGCAAGAACGTACTAGAAGGGCCATGTCCTTGAATAATACAAGTAGTGAAAAAAGAAAAGAAACACGTACAAATTAACGTTAAAAAAAAAATAAATCAGTTATTAGCCACTGACCAGCAAATATTAGAATTTTAATATTTACCTGTATTACAGAGTTAAACAGTATTTTAAGTTAATTTTTCATGTGGCCCAACAGTAGTTCGCGGCAGCTGGACTTTACATGTGAGAAAGCTGTATGATCAGATGATAATTCCCGTTGATTTTAACTCAAGTTGATTTAATAGATTTCCCATTTCACTAAGTTCATAGAGTCTGTATATTTAATAACATTTTTCTGGTGCAGCTGTAGCAAGAAATCAGCCAGGAAATCGACCCCTTTCAGGATGCAAACAAATGTCAGTCTCTGATAGCGTACACTAGCCTGTATATCTACCACAGGCGAGTATTTCTCCTTCTCTGCCAAAGCAGTACTTATTAAAAAAAAAAAAAAAAAAAAGAACTCATGTACTAGCATTTTAAATGGCTTAGTTGTTTTTTGTTTGTTTCTTTTTTTTCAATATAAAAGCCAAGGGAATTTTAAAAAGTGATTAAAAACAAAAAATTGGCAACGAAGCTATGAAAAAATTAATACCTGATTTGCTTGCTAGAAAGAGTCTCATTTTAGACCCATCTATCAAAGAACGTAAAAAATGCACCACAGTATCAGATCTTGTTTATGAAACTAAAAATTAAAGACATCTGTTTTGCATGACCTGCACATAATAAACCCCCCCACCCTCTTAAAGAGGTTATCTTCCTACTTATCTAAATCTTACATTACTCTCTTGAAGTAAGAATGGAAGAAGTAAAATTTATTAGAAATAAAGGATTTTTCCAATGGGATTCCCTGATACA